GTGAAACTATGTCTGACTTTGTTTTCTTCTTACGTAACCATATTCTCTACAGTGTCTGTGAAACCAGTGTGCATTACATCAGCATATGGAAGAAACCTCACCCCAGATCCCACACAAGTTGTGTTTTAGGGTGGTTATGTATGTAGAAGGGATTACCCTTCTGATGGCTGCCTTCCTGGGGGCCCTAGAGCAGTGGTGTGTCTCTCTCCAGGCCTTAGGGTGGCAGTCAGGCCTAGCTTCTATCATTCTAGTCCCCTGTGCTTCCCGGGACACCGTGGGGATTCCAGTCTGCAGAGGCCCCAAGGCTGGCACAGTGTCTTTAAGAAAAGGAAAGCCTGGTAAGCAAGCCCAGGACCTCAGAAGAGGCAGTGTGTGGATGTATCTCAGATGCTTCAGGGAAAAGGTCCCCTGACCCCCGGGGAAACTCCTCCCTCTTCTGCCTGCTGAAGAGGGCAGTCTCGCCCACTTCTAATGGCAGAGACAGGGCCTAGGACTTCCCTGCAGCCAGGTCTGGTGTTAGCAGCCAGTGTCCTCAGGGACACTCTGGGGTCATCGGTGTATCTGGGAAGCAGCTTTATTTTCTCTGTGACTGGACCTTCCACGGTAGGCCAGAGCTTTCTCTCTACGTGCCCTTTATCACACACGAGACAAGCCTGGCCAGCTCAGTGTGAGAGAGGACTGGGCAGGAGTTGGATAGGCTGAGCCATAAAGATCTCTAGCTTCAGAATTGTTTATGATTTATTTTTGTCTGCCCTGGTGGAGACAGGAGGATTGCTGGGGCTAGCTGCCTGCAGGCCCAGCTCTAGGTTCAGTAAGAGAACCTATTTCTCAAAGGACTATGGGAAAGATCAAGAAAGCAGGACACCCAGCATGGCCTCTGGCAATGTGCACATCACACACACACACACACACACACACACACACACACACACACACACACCACATACATGCACTTTTTAAAGAAGTTTGCCCTCTCTTCAGAGGTGCCCATGGATATTTGTGTTCCGGGGGAAAGCTAGTTTAAATTTAAATGCGATGTAAACCGCATTGCTTCGTCAACACCCGAGTTGGATCTGGAATGTTCTCTAAAGGAGGGAGTGAGATTGCTGTTGCTCTGTTAGTGGAGCAATGCCTGCTGCTGGGTTTTGGATTTGGCGGGAGTGTCCAGATATAAGTATATACATATTTTCAATTTGCCTCAAGTCTTTATGCATCTTAAACCTACCAAAAATGAGCCCAACCAGAACATAAAGTCTGTGTTTTTTTTTTTTTTAATTAAAACTTGGACGAGAAAACCCAGGAATTCTTGTTGTTGTTGTTGCCTATAATTTAATTCTTAATGTATCAGACATAATCCAAGTTTAACAGATTTTTTTTCTTTTGGATTCTGGCAAGTATGTTAACAAGAGGTAATTATGTGAAATAATATAAAATCCTTTTATTAAAAAAAACAGAGAAGCCTTCATTTAAGCGGAAATTTAATATTACTTCTCCAATGGTGTCGATGTCATGAACTCGTTTGATTAACTCTTCAAATGGTTCAAAGTGCTTTGGGTGGTAATTTATGAGCTCCTAATTGATTTTCCCAATCTTGGTTTGGCAGAGGTGGACCTCCTGGAGATGTGAGGGGCTGGAGGCCCACACTTAGCTTCATTCTCAGACAAAAGAGCCAGTCCAGATGGACATTGCCCAATGGCAGGGGGGAGCTCTGTCAAGGGAGATGAGGCCCATGATGTGCGTGATGACTGACCAGGCCAGCTGTGGTTCCTGACTCCTCTTGAGATGTGTGGGAATGCCGCAGGCAGTTTCCCAGAATCATTGTCCTCAGAACAAGCCTAGCGAGGAGAAGGGTGAAGGATAGTTCATATGGGGGCGGGGGGCTTGTAGCCTCTACTGTGAGACCCTCTATTTCCTTTTCAGCCCACTGTTCCTCACTAGATCTGCCTTTCAAATGCCACACTGGGAAGGCTAAGGGCCTTGGCAAGGCTTGGAGCCAAGGCTGCTGTCCTCAGAGAAATCCCAGGCCTGGCCAGACGCTGTGGAATGAGCACTGGGGTGGCCTCACTGATGTATTCCCAGGGAATGTCGTCTGTTCTCGAAACCTCCTAGATGGGGCAAGAGTGCACCACATTAAAACACGAAGGAAAATGGGGCCAGTGAGGCTGAGGACAATGACATCAGCCAGACATGGTGACGCTCACCTTTAATCCTTTAATCCCAGCTCTCGGGGCAGAGGCAGGTGGATCTGTGGGTTTGAGACCAGCCTGGTCTACAGAGTGATTTCCAGACAGCCAAGAGCTACACAAAGAAACCCTGCCTCACAAAACCAAAAGGGGTGGGAGAGGAAGAGAATGAAAAGGAAGAAAATGACTCCAAGCTAGTAACTGGGGTTCTCAACTCAGTGGGGTACAGGGGCATCAGCTCAGTCTTGCATCCTAACTATGTCGTCAGAGAGCTCACCACATTCCTAGTCAGAGCATGAGCTCCCGTGGATGAGCCAGTGCTTCTTGAGTTTTCTAAAGACGTGTATGTACTTAAGTGTGTGGGCACACGTGTGTTCGAGTACGGGCACACGTGTGTTCGAGTACAGGCACATGTGCATCCGTGCAGCAGCCCAGATGGGATGTCTTTGCTCACTCTGTTTGGTATTCTGAGTCGGGGTCTCTTGCTGTCCTCAGAGTTCGTGGATCCCAGCTGGTTGAGCTAGCCAGCCTGCCCAGGGATCTCCCGGGGACCACAAGTTGAGATCTGATTCTGAGCAAGAATTTTAGCCACAGACTCATCTCCCCAGCCCTGCCTCCCTCCTGACGCTGGGAAGAACTGTGCCGTGTGCTCTCTTGGGCCTGGGAACCTTATACACCTCGTGTCCAGCTTCCTCGTGTGTAAATGGGCATAACAAAATGCCCGGGAATGAAATGAGATGTCTTAGCCCCGCCACACCAGCTTGAAGAGCATTACATGGAGCAGACTCGGATGAAGAAGGAAGGTGAATGATGTTCTGAAGCAAGGGAAGAGAGAGAGAGAGAGGAGAGAGTCATGTGGCCAGGGCAGAAGAAAGTACAGGGAGCTGGAGGGATGGCTTAGTGGTTAAGAGCACTGTCTGCTCTTCCAGAGGACCCCGGTTCGATTCCCAGCACCCACACAGCAGCTCACAACTGTAACTCCAGTTCCAGGGGGATCTGACACCTTCACACTGATGCACAAAAAATACATTTTAAAACAAAGCGAATGTGGCCACAAGGAGTGGTGGGATTCAATGGCTCCTGTGTGAATTACAATGGAGGCTTTTCTGAGATTGTTACTGAGGAAATGGAGGGCACAGAACCATCCAGGCCCTCCAGAACAGAAATCAAACCTCATCTGCTGTAGAGGCAAGCCCGGGACAAACGCAGTTGCATCCTTTAGCCCAGCCCCTGGTGTTGCTCTTCCCAGGCACACACACTACCCTGGGTAGGGCCCAGGACAGAGCAGCCGAGTGAGAGGCCCCCAGCGCTGCCTAAGTATCAACGGCGCCAGGCCCAAGGCAGGTACACGTCAGCCTCCGAGGCACATTGGGGTCCAGTGTCTCCCGCTGCCCAAGCTGCGCTGCGTGACCCGGGGAAAACCACCTCATTCACTGTACCTGTTTCCTCATCTGAAAATGGGGACACCTTGGAATAGAGGGACTGTATTAACACTTAGGGGAAGTTCCCAAAACGGTGTGGGAGCCGGGTACACGCCTATAATCCCAGTACTAGGGACGCTGAGGCAGGAAGATCGTGTGTTTGAGGCCAGCCTGGATCACTCAGCGAGTCCCAGGTCAGGTTCGGCTGCAGCATGAGACACACTGTCTCTAAAACCCATACCAAAAGCAGACAGCAGCAGTCACGGGGCACATGGGAACACACCAGGGAGCTGTGTGGTTAAGTACTCAGCCACAGGAGTCACAGGAAGTCTACCCTCACTCACACCCTGATGCTCCTCCTCAGCCGCTGTGTCTGGTCACCGCCGAAGAGGGGCTATTGCCACCCCTCTCTTCCTTAGCACAGGCCTGCCTTTGCCCCTGAGGCGGCTTCGGAGCAGCCTGGCCTTCCCCGGTTCTCCTCTGATCCCTCACTTCCCACTTCCGTGCCCAGAGCACTTCCTCCGTGGCCCCTCAAGTCCTGCTGCTGGTAAGTAAACGTCAGAGTCCTCCAGCTTGCCCATAGGCTCCACTCAGTGAGCACAAGGAGGGGCCGCAGCAGGGAAACTGTCAACGCAGCAGAAAGAACGTGACCTATGGAGGGTTCCCCCAGGGGCTTCTGGAGTATTTTCAGCTGCTTAACAGTCAGTTGAGGGTGGTCCCAACAGTTCTTAAGCTTCACGCCCACCAGTGATGACTGGGCCCACAAGACAAAGGCAGCGTTGTCTGAGAAGCGGGGTACCCTCTCCCTCCTACCTCACGTGCATGCGATCCAAGCTGAGTGGCTCTGTCCATCAGCCTGCCCCCCATCTCTATTGGGGTGTTTCCACACCCAACCCTGTGCTCCCCTCAAGAATGGGAGCTCTTTTGGACTGTTATTTTGAGGGTGGCTTACACTCACCAGGGCACGGGAGGCTTGCTTGCTAGATTGTAATCTGCACTGCCCTACACATGATCCAAGGGAATCCGGCGCCTCTATTTCCCATGCTCCCTGACTCTAACCAGCTAGATAGACACAGGTAAAACCTTGCTAGAATATGAAATATAATACAGAGCATCCAACAACGCCTTAGACAGGGCCTAAGAACATTAGCCCCATGAGTTGTCCCCTAGAAATAGTCACAGAACCGTAAATTAAGATTTAAAGGTAAGGAAAGAGAGAGTAATTCAGTGGTGTCTCTAGAGAATGCTGGGATAGTGAAAGGCCTTTCATACTAAAAGGACGTTCTTCACAGCTCCAGAAACTGTGGAAGTGAGGGTTCCAATCCCCACAACCATTTTCTCAAAGAACACTTGGCTAAACCCCAGAGACAAGAACCTTCCCATTCAAGGGCCTTACCTGGGTGCCTGGCTGGGTGAAGAGGTACCGGAGGTACTGGAGGTTTTGTGACAGCCTTACACGAAACCTCCAGACTGGCTCAGAGGGTCTATTTTTAGGGTCAGATCTGCTGACACTGACCTTGCATGCTGTCCAGTCTGAGAGGAGACCTGTGGCATTTGTTTGCAAAATGATTCTCCAGTGTGACCTGAAACCCTTGGCTTAGGCTTTCCTGTACCTGGAGGCCCACATGTTTGTCTCTGGCCCAGCCACAGATACAGGACACGTGGCCGCCAGGGTGGCGACAGATGGGGAATTCCCCAGCTTTGTGCTCTTGGGCAGGATAAGGCCAGGTGTCGGTCTGTCTCAGAACGGCTGGGACGGGGAGCCTTGCCAGCTGACAGGGAACCCATAGGAGGCCTCAGGGCCCACAGCATGAAGAACTCTACTGCAGTCTTCTCTGAGAGTTTGAAGAGCTGTCTTGGGGAGTGGATGAGATGGATACCACATCATGAACAGTGATCCGTGAGACCCTGTGGGTAACAAACACTGTTATACTATTTTCTGCAAACCTCCCACCAAGTCCTCAACAGTGGTCATAAGCTTACCCTCTCACATGAACATCTAAGGAGAGACAGTATAGAAAGCACTTAGCAAGGGTCTCGCATGTGATGACCTGTAGAACATTCTAGATGCCATTTCTGTTCCAAAGTTCTTCCCAACCCAACATTTCCCAGTCTTTTTTCTTATCTGTCTCTTTCCCACCCTCCTGCTTCTGTTGGCTCCAGCCTATTTTGTTCCAATATTCCCCCACCTCATCAGGTTCCACACCTTCAGGCCTCCTCTTTAACATCAAGGGGCAGAGTCCCATGCAGTACCCTTTCATCTTCTAGTAGAATTAGGGTTTGCTACAGCTTCTCATATGCGGTTTTTCTATTCTTGCTCACCCTGGTCACCCATTTTGGCTGTGCAGAGAGATGGGGAGAAGGCCACCAGTCTCCTCCCAATGATGAGGTCCTTAATTTGCCTTCAGCAAACCTTCCTTTCACCTAGCAGGGTTATTTTTTTATAAATATTTCATACATTTTTTAAAAGATTTTATTTATTATGTATACAGCACTTCATGTAGGCCAGAGGAGGGCACCAGATCTCATTGTAGATGGTTGTGAGCCACAATATGGTTGCTGGGAATTGAACTCAGGACCTCTGGAAGAGCAGCCAGTGCTCTTAACCTCTGAGCCATCTCTTCAGCCCCCTAGCAGGGTTATTAACCAATGCTGTGGTTAATAACACACCGTGATTGTTAATGCTAGTCATACCCATTGTGAAGCTGCTTAGCAATGTAGCTCTTATTGATTTCTTGGTAAAAAGAAGAGTCACAAAGGAAAGGAAATCTGAAAGTTCAGCAAGGTCTGAATGTTCCCTGGAGTCAAATCAACAGGGTGTAGCACAGGCCCTGCTGCAATTACCCTAAGAAATAAGGAAGTCTGAGATGGTAGGATTGAAAGGATCTAGACAAAAGACTTCTTTGCAGGGAGTGGAGGGGGAAGCTCAAGGTCCTGGCCTAACATGACTGAATTGGCAAGGGAGACCTCTGAAAAAGTGGGGTCAGCAGTGTGCGAGGGTTCAAATAGCTAAGCCAGGTATGGCGGTGAGCACCTGTAATCCCAGGAGGCAGGAGAACAGTCCTAAATTCAATACCAGCTTGGTCTATCTTGTGATCAAGTCAACCAGAGCTTAGCCAGTGCTGTGTCTCAAACCAAGCAGGAGGCCATCAAGAGATGACTCAGTGTTAAGGTGCTTATCACCCCTGATGACCTGATCCCTGGAACTCACATGGTGGAAAGAAAATGGACTCCTACGAGTCGTTCTTTGAGCTATTCACACACACACACACACACACACACACACACACACACACACACACAGTAAATACATAAATGTAAAATAAGCTATGAATTCCTCGGCCAATAAATGCAAGATAGCTAGATGACATATAGATGGATGGATGATAGATCAATGAAAGAAAGATTTCTTACCATCTAAGATGTAGTGAAGTTAAATGAAGCCAAGAGAAGAATGTGAAGGGTGTTACGATTTGAATGGCAGACACTCCTCACAGGCTGGTTGAACTGCTTGAGAGACTGTGGAATGTTTAAGAGGTAGGCCTAGCTGGATATGGGGGTACACACTAATCCCAGCACTCAGGAAGCAGAAGCAGGTGGATCTCTGTGAGTTCAAGGCCAACAGAGTTCCAGGACAGCCAGGACGGTTACACAGAGGAACCTTATCTCAAACAAACAAAAAAGAGGCAGGGCCTGGCTGGAGAAAGTGGGTCCCTGGGCAGGAAGGGATAGGGTATGGTGATGTCCTGGGGGGACAGCCATGTCTGTCTCAGACGGAGGGCTCTGCTTCCTATCTACCACAGAGCTGCCTACAGCCTTAACTTCTCCACCCTGAGGGACCATCTCTCCCCCAGCTGTGAGCCTCAATAAACCCTTTAAGTTGATTCTTCTCAGGAATTTGTTTGCAGTCATGAGAAAAGTAATACTGAGGGACTGTTGATTCGCACCTCCACTAGATGGACCCTAAGAGATAAGCTAGAGAAATGGTTCTCACCTCCCCTAGGTGGACCCTAAGTGATGAGCTAGAGAAATGGTTCTCACCTCCAATAGATGGACCCTAAGTGATGAGCTAGAGAAATGGTTCTCACCTCCACTAGATGGTCCCTAAGAGATGAGCCTCTCCACTTTCTCTCAGTCCTTTATATGTTAAACTATGCTCTGTGCAAACACCTTGAATCCCAGCACTTGAGAGGCAGAGGCAGAGGATCTCTGTGAATTTGAGGCCAGCCTGGTCTACAATAGGGTTGCCCAGAAACAAAAGGTCTTATTCTGAGTGTGCATTTTTTAGAGGATCTCCAAAACACAGAGAGAGAGAGAGAGAGAGAGAGAGAGAGAGAGAGAGAGAGAGAGAGAGAGAGAGAGAGAGAGAGCGCTATAGGGGGAGGGGAGATGTTTGCAGGTTTTTTAGAATAACGAAAAGAAAAGAAAAGAAAAAAACCACAACATTGAATGGTAAGAATTTCATGTCTATTCCATGTCTTAGTCATAGGAATGGGTACATAGCACCCATTGTCAATAAAGTTCTATGAAGGAGGGTGCATTTTGTATAAGCCACTGGGACTTGTAGGTGCTTTTGGTCATTGGGATCAGCTGTAAGCGCTGGCCGAGTATGACCTGTAATTCTATCTAGCTTTGTGACACACACCACCCAAGCCAGGGAAGCTTGTTCTTCTCTTGTTCTGTGTCCTCAGAACAAAAGGGAACAGTCTGAGTTCCAGGAAGGTGGGCAAGCTGCCTTGCCACTGGCTCTGGAGGCAGATGCCGCTTTGGAGTGTGGGAAGGATTTGTGCTGTGGAGGCACCTCAGAGAAAGACTGATTCTCCCTGTCAAGCCTGGGTACCATGATGGCATGCCTTACCTGACAGTGCTGGTTTATTAATTCTGCCTAACGGTACTGGAATGCCCTAGAATGAGCCTGGGATTCCAACAAATAATATTATATGTATGCAAAAATACATATATATTTGCTTTTTGAGATAAAACTTCATGATGTAGCCCAGCATAGCCTTGAACTTCTGACCCTCTTACCTCAGCCTCCCAGATGCTGCTGTTACATGCATACACTACACCTGTCCTCATAATATTTTTGTGTGGTTTTATTTATTTTAATCTCTCTCTCTCTCTCTCTCTCTCTCTCTCTGTGTGTGTGTGGGGGGGGGCGGTTGCCTGCAGTGGTCAGAAGAGGGTATCAGATGCCCTGGAGCTAGAGTTACCTGTGGTTGTGAGCCATCAGGTGTAGGTGCTGGGAACTGAACTCAGGTCCTCCAGAAAGCAGTTAGTGCACTTAACCACTGAGCCACCTGTCCACACCTGTCTTTTGAGACAGAGTTTTGGAATATACCCCACACTAGCCTTGAACTCTCAATTATCCTGTCCTGGCTCCAGAGTGTGGGATTATAAGGCGTGCACCAGGACGCTCAGCCTCATACTTTTTACATGAATGTATATTTACTTGTGTTAGTGCATATGGAGGTTAGAGGGTGGCCTCCCGTGCCATCCTCAGGAACACCATGTTTCTTTTGCAACAGGGTTTCTCATTGGCTTGGAGCCGGGGAATCCCCCTGTCTCCACCTTCTCAGGGCTGTGATTACAGATGTGTTGTTCCTTGCCTGGCATTTTTATGTGCATTCTGGGGATGAACTCAGGTCCTTATTATTTTGAAGTAAGCACTTTTGATTTGTTTTTTTTTTTTTTTCGAGACAATTAGTAGGTCTGTCGTGATTGGGTGTGTGCACTGTGTCTTTGGAAGCTGTCCTGGAACTAGCTCTTGTAGACCAGGTTGGTCTCGAACTCACAGAGATCTGCTTGCCTCTGGCTCCCGAGTGCTGGGATTAAAGGCGTGCACCACCATGCCCTGTTAAATCATTTAATTTTTACGATAATATTTTATGCCTTAACATCTTCATTTAAATTTTCAGGTTCATTTTAGTCATTTTGGTCAACTTTACTATCCAATAGCCATTTCATTTTGTTCATGGAAACTATTTTAGAAGCAAAGGTTCTCTGGAGGATCAGTGAGTGGGTAAAAGTGCTCACTCAAGTGCTAGCCTGTCTGAGTTTGATGCCTAAGTGGAATGAGAGAGCAAATTACACACATTTGTCCTCTGCCTTCCTCCTGTATATCTGGCACTCACGTGCATGCGAACACACACACACACACACACACACACACACACACACACAATAATATCATAAATGTAAGATTTTCAAAAGAACCCTTTTGAAAATGCATAGGGAACCAGGTGTGGTGGTGTATGCCTCTAATTCCAGCACTCAGGAGGCAGAGTTGGGCAGATCTCACAGTTGGAGGCCAGCCTCATCTACAGAGTGAGTTCCAGAACAAAGAAACCCTGTCTCAAAGAAAGAAAGAAAGAAAGAAGGAAGGAAGGAAGGAAGGAAGGAAAATATGAAATATCTTACCTCTTTATTGTTTTTATTTATTTGTATTTTGATAAGAGATGTGTTCACATCTTTTCCACTTGGAATTCTGTGGATCATTTTGCTTCAGATCTATTAGAGCAGCATTGTCCAAAAGAAACATAAAGCAAGCCATGTTTTTCATTCTTCAAT